GTTATTGGGGCTGTTGTTACGCGTTCAAAAATGAAACAAATAAAACAACAAAAAAATGAAAATGACAAAATTACACCACCCACTGTAAATGATATATCATCGTCATCAAGTAAAGACAAAGTTGAACATTCAAATCAATCTCCATCACACTTAATTACGTCTAACAATTTTGATATAATTCAAATTAAACTTGAACACTCAAAAGATTCAAATATTTAGAAGAAGATTAAAGAAGTTACACAAGATCTAACAAAACATCTTTATGTAGTTACAGACGGTTTATTATATAAATTGGTATCAATGAATGTTGCTAATAATAATAAGAAGAAAGTAATTTATTCACCTTCAGCCATGATCAATTCCCTCCTGCACTCACACCATAATGATCCGCTTAGTGGTCATTTTGGTATTCAGTGAACAGATTTAAAAAATTAAAAAATAAATTCTGGTGGCCAAATATGAAACAATCAATTATTCAACATATTCAATCTTGTTTACCTTGTCAACAACATAATATTAGTCGTACAAAGAAACCAGGTCGACTTAATTCAATTCCAACTCCAGAGGAACCATTTCAATTAATAGGTATTGATTATTGTGGTCCGTTCAAACCAACACCTCATGGTAATCAATATGTATTATGTATTACTAATTATTTTACAAGATGGATGACTGCAATAGCTTTACCTGATTGTTCAGCAGAAACCACGGCTCCAGCATTATTTAATAATTATATTTGTCAATATGGTGTACCATTAGCTATATTATCTGATCAAGGTACTCATTTTAAAAATCAACTTATGGAATCCATAGCAAAATTAATTGGTAACAATCATATTTTTTCAAGTATTTATCACCCACAACGTAATGAGATGATTGAACGTTTTAATGCGACATTCGTTCCTCAAATTGTTAAACTTCAAGATCTAGAAAATAACAATTGTGATGAATTCCTATCACCAGTGATATTTGCTTACGACATCAGCATCCATGCAACGACTAATTATTCACCATTTCAACTACAGTTTGGTCGAAAGCCACGTTTATCTATTAATGAACCTTCATCATCATTTACTTTCAATAAACCAAATGATTATTATGTACAATTGAAAAAAAATCTGTTGATAATACAACAACACGCACGTGATAATATTATTCGTCGACAACGACAATACAAAATTAATTATGATAAACAATGTCCAGATCCACATTATGAAATCAATGATCCAGTACTGATTAAAATTCATGGAATAAAGAAAAAATTAGAACCAAAATATTCGATTACACCAAAAATAATTATTACGAAACGACATCCAATTTATTGGGTCAACGAAGAAAAAACACAGGTCGAATCCAGAGTACATGTTAACGATATTCGACCTATTCTTATTTTAAAATCAACATGATATATTATTGTTTAGTTATTTGCTAATGATCATTAAATGTTAATGTTATGTTACGTTTATGATGATTCGATGTTTGATCATCTTTGTTGTATGCGCAACGACTTAGTTGGACTAACATTGATTCGTTATGCATACGGAAATGTTGATATTTTAGTTGGCGCGCATTAATTATCAATATAGTTGTCATTTGCATATGGTGAGTATTAACGAATATTGATTATTACAAATACAAACAAATTACACAGAGGAAATCTTCTCTTTCAGAAGTGTTTCTGTTTTTAGCAAACGATGTTATTTCTCTTTTAACTTGATGTGTTTTATTAATATTTATCTTCATATATTAACGATATCTATTTATGTGCAATTTTGATAGGTTTATTCCTCTTAACGACTGATAAATTACATGATTTATTTGTTTATGTTATTTATGTTTTTTTTTCTCTTCACTTATTTTATATCAATTTGTTTAATTTTCTTTTATTTCATCATTACAATGTCAGATAAATTTGTTCCATATTATTTATGTGATATTAACAATCCTCCAGCTCATCTTGATGACAATCAAAAATCGAATTGGACACGTGCTGCAAAAAAAGACGAAGAAAAATTATCAATATCAACAACAATATCCAGCATTTGATATACCAACATCACTTTATCAAATTATACATGTAAATAAACATACAACAGCTGAAACAATGCAAAAATTAATTAATGATGCACGAAATTGTAATGAATTTACATTTGATACTGAAGGTGAAAAATCAACCAAACAATTAACATTAATTCATTTACAAATTAAATAATTATTTGAATTAATTTTTAAATTTAGAAATAACATATATTCTTGGAGACCATTACGTAAGGAAATTTATCCAGCTATTGTTTATCAATGGTTTGAATGGTCAATTAAAACATCAGTGGTTAATCTTCAACTTAAATTTACTGATTGGTATATTTGGGTACTATCTCATTGCGAGATGTGTAGCCTGTCAAATCGTCGTAATGTTATTATGAATAATATTAATTCTGATGGATAAATGGATTTGTTATCAAAATGTACTTGTCATAAACCAAGTCCTTATCGTCCTAATGAGCCATAGGCATTACAACAAGCTTTACTTTATACATATGGAATGTTTATTGACAAATCAATTACTGTTAATAAATGGGCAACGGAATTAGATCCAACGTATTCAACCTTATCAACATCAAAAAGAAATAAAATGATACATTACGCAATATATGATTGTTTTGCAGCAACATGTTTAATCCGACCTGTTACATTATATTGGACATTTCAACAGGTAACAAAAATTAATATTCTTGATTCATTTCAGGCATTACCATCATCATCACGAGCGAATAACAACCCAACAAATACAAATATTAATCAACAAATAATTAAGAATATTAATGATGATATTGGATTAATCTCCGATGATGATGAAATAATAGTTAATCAATGTATTAAAATTACTATTAATAATGATATTTTATATGAAGAAATTTCAAATGATGATAATGAATTAAATAAAGCATTGCCATCAAATAATAATGAATCATTATATGAAGCAATATCAGATGATGATAATGAACCAAATCCTGTATTACCACCAAGTGATAATGATTTATGTGTCAACAACCATTCTATGGTTGATGATGACAAAAATAATGATCAATCTAACTCCATGAAGTACTAATATTTTTTTTTGTTAAAAAAAAGTGTTTTTGTAATCAAAAAACGTTTTTTCCTTCTCTGGAAAGGGTGCTATATCGGACATCTATATTGTCATATATTTATATTTATTTTCTAGGAAAAACATAACTTTTATTTAAAAAAAGATGATCTAACTAGTCGAGTGTATATCATATATATATATGTATCACCAGATATAACAAGGAAGAAAGAGAAACGATAGAAAGGAGAAAAAATAAATGACAATATAGAGTTCCGATATAACATATCAGAATACGTTATCTTTTTCTGTGAAGGTCTTAGTCTAAATTTTTAAATTCAAATTTCTTGCCTTTTTCAATATTACATCAATTCGTTTTAGCATTTCAGAACTTTTCCGTATTATCTGGTTTTTGCCTCCTTTTCTTAACATACTTTTCTTGTTTATAATGAAATAAAAATTGTAAATGCAGCTAAATATATTCATGATGGTGAAGTTCTTTTTTTTCTTTTATTATTTTTTTAACAATCGTGATATCTCGACATTCATCTCATCGAACATCATCGCCAGATTAAAGATGGAAAAGAAAAGACAGAAAAAAGTTTTTTACCTATAGCTAATATATTTATTTTATTTTTATTTTAAGCATCATAATCGAATGCTACGAGTTTATATGATGTTAATTGATTTTGTAACAGTACTTCTTTTTTTTGATAGAACTTTGTTACCGACATCATTATCACAACCTGATTTTAGTCTTAAAA